CCTACATCGGCACACCTATATCGGCACATCTATATCCTACATCGGCACACCTACATCGGCACACCTATATCGGCACATCTACATGTATATCGGCACACCCACATCCTACATCGGCACACCTACATCCTACAGCGGCACACCCACATCCTACATCGGCACACCTACATCGGCAGACCCACATCCTACATCGGCACACCCATATCCTACATCGGCACACCCGCATCCTACATCGGCACACCCGCATCCAACATCGGCACACCCGCATCCTACATCGGCACACCCGCATCCTACATCGGCACACCCGCATCCTACATCGGCACACCCGCATCCTACAGCGACACACCCGCATCCTACAGCGACACACCCACATCCTACAGCGGCACACCTACATCCTACAGCGGCATACGGCTTCCTGGGTCTCCCGACACTTGGTGAGCCCAGGATTGTTCCTTCTGCCGTCCGAAACTCACCAGGAGCAGAGAGGACATCGACATGCTCGACATTTTGCTGGGAAGACTTTCCGCTGATGGAAAGCGCGTTGTCTGTAATCAGCATTATAGCAAGGTGTCAGAATGCATAGCTGCAACAGCTGATGACTCAGTAATATAGGTTCATAAATCAAAATTTTCAGATTCAACATCCACGCCCAGTCCCACGCCTCCTACCACTCTGTTGTTATGGGCAACGCAATAAAAGCCTTCTCTGACTTACGACATGAATTGGTCCTGAGCAGGCAGGGAGCGTATCTGTAATAATATCTATTATACAGATGTCACCTTGAAGGGACAGTGTCATACAGGTCTGCTGTAGTTCTCCGGCTATGACTGACAAGCAGAAGGGATGGAGGAGAACCGGGGGAAGTGATTTAATCCAGGACTGGAGCAGTAAGTGGGAAAGATGAGAAAAGTGGAAAAAAAAAGCCAAGCTGAAGGAAAGGAAATGATTGGATCGAGTACGGCACACGTTTTGAGGAACCAGGAGAACATAAGAAAGGAAATAGAGGGAAAGGAAATAGAGGGAAATCATTATAAAGGCATCTTGGAGAGAAAACAGGCGGAGCTGCTCTGTTATTATTCCGGCCGTAAATGGAATTGTTTAATGTCCTTAACTGCTTGTGGCACGACGATGATATATGAAAAAAAGGACATGAAGGACCCTGCTGGGGAACCTGCCTTCCCGAAGCCCCCCCCCCCCCAACCCCGGTCCCCCGAAGAGGGGGCAGTTCAGTGACGCAGCACAGCCCTGCTCTGCACACCTGCCCCTGCATGCAGTGCGCCGGATCATATCCATGGCACTCAAAATTCACTCCATTATATTGTCATTATAGCCTCATGTTCGTCCCTCTGGCGAAATGCAGCTGTCGCATTTTAATTGAAATGTGACAAGAGCATAGAGACAGGCTGCCCGTGCAAGCGCACAATGCGGGCCTCGCACTCAACTGTGTCTGACACAAAAGGGTTCCCTGGGAGGGGGGGGGGGTGCAGCGTGCCCTCGAACTAGGGCCGTCCCGCAGATCCAGAAGAAGACGAGCGAGCCACAGGAGCCCAGAGGCCTATAGCATGAGAAATGGATGCAAACTCCAAGCTTCCTTAATAAAACATGTGGCTAGTGTCCCAGCGGCCCTCACCGGGTCAGGGCTCTCATTTCGGTCCCCTGAAAGAGGGCCACTCGTACCCAGCATGCATCACTCAGTGTCAGCAGCATTGCTCTTCAGGTCCACTGGCTGCTCGGCGGGAACGACCGACCCGATTCCTCCCATCTCATCTTAAAACAGACAGATGGGTGAACAAGAGCAAAATATTCAGCCGTTCCTGCAGCTCATATGAAAACCATCAGAATGTTTCAGTACCGAAGGCAGCCACCGTAGATTTAGTGATGTTATGGTGATATGATCAGGGTCTGAATAACAAAGGCTGGCTCCCAGGTCTGACAATACAAGAAGTAAGGACCCTTGTTTTGTGCCCGGTGGTCCCAGAGTCTGTTGGGCAGGTCACTGCTAAACACAGACTGCCCACCAGACCTGAGGGCTTCTCATCAGGGTTTTTAAGAGGAGAACTTAAGTGTGGGGGATGGGTGGAGCCAGGGGACCCAAAGACATGCAAACCAGGGCAACGGGATACGAAAACACAACCAAACAAATGAATTACAGAACCAAGACGGCAAACGTGTAAACGAGGCAGACGTGATCAGAAGCTTGAGTTCTGAGAAGGTCCTAAGACTGAGCCCCAATGAAAGCTGGCAGCTGGATATACAGAGATCCAATACCGGTCCTAAGGACCCCCCAGGAAGACCCACGGGGTGGGGTGGGGGTGTGGCCGGTCGAGAACAAAAGGACAGCAGAACAGCTCATTTTCTGATTTCCTACTGAGCCATGAAATTGTACTGGTAAGCAAGAAGTTACGCGAAACAACTGGCCAATCACGAGAAAGGAAAAGAACATGACTACATATGTACCCGTTCCCTGCAGCAGCAGTTGCCATGGTAACATCATCACACAGTCAATGTTGCGAATGGGGGCCCTAACAGCAACAAGAGGGGGGTGGGTGGGTCCAGCCTGTGGAGTTTCCTGGGTGTTTAGTCCTTATTACGGTTGGTAGCCCAAAGATCCGCAATTCCATGAGAACCAGTGCGGACATCGTCTCACACTCACTCTGGAACTCCCAGTAACCAAATGCCAACACAGGTAAGGCTGTAGTGTCGGCTGTGGGATCTCGGTTTGGAGTTTATTCAGAGGATGGGGAACTCGAAATCCTGGTCGGTTTTGGCATACCAACACTCCAAACCGTCTTTGATTCATTTACACTTAAACGTTTACATTCGAACAAAGGTCTTAAGACAATTATTCATCTACTCATCCATCTCCTGTTCAGTTTGTTCCGTTGTGAGTCGCAGTCATTAAGGCATTTATGATGAGTCAAAGGCTTAAATACGAAGCGTGAAACAAACGCAGGGATCTAGCGGCCGAAAACTGGAAGAGAATCAAGTGGAGGGAACTTCCAGACACCAACACACGTCTCATCGCTGATTTGACATCTCATCCTGTTAATAAGTGACACTGTCCTGTTCCTTTTACTCGTCATTTTATTTGTCACAGCTATACAATAATCTGGCTTCTGAGTCTGACCGTGTGCCTTTAAGACAGAACACATGCATCTTTTATATGGGAAAGATCAGTCCATGGCGACCACCACCATGTCAGCTTAACAACACCGCTTGTTTTAAAATATCACACAGCTGCTGCAAGGGGCTCTTCAGCTGAGGAGGATCGGAGAGAACACACAATGCATTTGGCGTCTTATTGAACACAAGATGGAAAGGTGGGTGTGTCTCGGAAAATCAATAGGCCCCGTCCACAGGCTTGAGAACATCTCTGCGTCTCTCTGAAGAGGGATTATGTAAGCAAATTCCATCCTACCGTCAGTCCATCAACAAACAATATAGCACCGTTAGGGTTATAGCATTTGCAGGAATGGCATCTCGACAGACATGAATACTAGTTTTTCAATTACTGTATAACCGACCTTAAAAAACGACACAAAGCATTGTGTGTCAATTATCTTTTTTTGAGTTCCATTTTTTCGCAGGCTTTCTTTACTCTTAAAAATGAAAAGAAAAAAAAACGGCATTACTGCATGAACTATAAGCCAAGGTTGTACTGTGCCAACACACAAGAAAGTAATATTAAAAATATCTGATCTTTCAGCATCATTTGGGGGAAAATGTCATCCTTATGGACTGGGTGTATGCTATAGTAAAGGGCTTTTCAGCCTCTTCTAAATCAGAGACCCCCCAATAAGTGCTAGGCATCCTAAACCACTAATGAATGATGTAATTAACTCAGAGCTGGGGGAGGTTAATAGCTTCTTATTCAGTGCAGTGGGGGGCACAAGCAACTCTTACACACACTCAGTAAATTACACAATAATGTTCTGAGGGCAGAAGGAGAAGTCATTGGTTCAGAAAGATAACCAATCAGGTTAAGGAGGTGGGTTAAAACAACTAGCGGAGTAGGGACCAAGACATCAGATTGATTGGTCCCGCCTCCTCTAGTTGTTTTAACCCACCTCCTCTACAATCTGATTGGTTATCTCTCAGAACCAATAATTTTTTCCTTCTGCCCTTAGAACATTTTACATAAGTAAAATTCCCATGAGCCTAAATGCATGTTATGGTCTGCCAGAGGAAACTTCCATGAAACAGGGAAACCGTGCAAACTCCACAAGCAGGACTGGGTGAGGAATCAAACTAACAACTCCGGAAGTGTGAGGCCACCAGTTAAATATTTCCAGCGTTTTTAACATAAAATATACCGAACAAGGCTTGTTTCCTGAGCTTCTCCGCCACGCCTAAAACATGGAAAAATGGAAACACCATTTTTCTTAATCCCAGATGCTCCACAGCAAACTCGCAGAAGCGGGAGATATAATACAATCAGCCGAGTATATAACCTATACACAGAGGCAGTGCCGTCTTCGGCTTATTCCTTTTCCAGAGGTTTCACGGGGCTCTCGGGCAGCGTTTCGAGCCTAAAAGCCGTTTGCCGCACAGGTTTTGGTGTCGGTCCTGAATTATTCATGAAGCCGCTCGTCGGAAGTGCGGTCAAAGCAGGCAGAAATTAAGGGGCGCAAAGCGGCGAGGGCTCCGGCTTTTTCGGCACCGTCTGCTGCCTCAGTGCCAGTAAATACACGGACGTTTATTTTGTTGTCACTTGCTAATATGAACTCGAATTGAGGGGAACTGCAATTGCAGGGTTTTCACATTGACATTAAAGTGTTTTACAGGTAGGGGCGCGCGGGGCCTGACAAACCGCCAAAGCGAAATGGAGCGGAGGTCAGATCGTCCTGATTGATCGTTAGCCACCTGTTGGTTCTTGTAATTATTCGCCTCCCTGACTAGCTCTGCAAGCTCACTGCAGGAAACATATTTTCTTTATTTATATTGATTTTAAATATATTTATTTATTGCGTCATTTAGCCGTAGTCGAACTTGAGCTTGTGTTAACAGTATCAAAGCGTCAAGAAGACAGCTAAATTGCCTTTTTCCGCATCCAGTAGGGAATCGCCCTTAAATAGAATTGAACATCCAGAGGAGAATTGAACCGCATTATCTGCGCAGGCGCGGCGCCGTGAGGTACGCGGAAAGCAGTCTCGTGCCGGCTCTGGTCCTTATTTCCCCCGGCTTGTCCCCAGTCCCGCGCGCCACACCGCTGCCAGTTAACCTAGTAATCTTTATTAGTGTTAGTGAGATATCATCCGTGTCTAATTTTCCACAGGAGCTTTTGGTTGACTGGCGCTTATTGGGTTATTAAAAAAAATTCTTTTGGCCTTAAGGTTATCCATGGAAATATGAGAAAGTGCCCTTCTGCATTGAGTATAGTCTGTCTGAGGAGGTTTTTGTTTGAGAAGCAAGAAAATTATTATTTTATCATTTATTTTACATCAGACATCAAGTCCTATGTCATCACAACCACATTTACTGTTATTTACAAAGGCTAGTACACACACTATATAACACACACTATATAACACATTGGTGCAGGTAGAGATTTTTTGTTATTGAGTAAGACAAAAAATAGAAAAATTACTTGCTTGTCTGGATGTGAAAAGAAAACAAATGTATTTTAGTTATTTGAAAAATTAGTTGGGTTACATTATTTGTGGTGTATTTTGGATGGACAGTTTTGAGGTGTAAAGCCATGCTTAATGGAAAGCTTAGAATGAAGTGGAAATGCAAATCTCTGCATCTGCATCTCCACGGTCGGGCTGTGCCGCAATATTTGCATTTCAAAGGCATCGATAGCAAATCTGGCATATTTTGTGCCTAAAATGCAAATTCATCAATTTCTGCTACAGGGCTTCAGGAACAGCATGTATGTTCTCTTAATTTCCTCTGTGCTGGCAGCCGCCTTATTATTGTAAATCGTAGATTGTGTGTGGGTGTATCTTTGGGTTTGGTCAAGGTCTCCTGAGTCGTCAGCCTTTTAAGAGGATGCCTGGATATTAACCAGAACTTAACAAAACTCCAAATTCAACGAAGGCTCACCCGAGAGCTGAGGCTTTGGGCCACTTTGGGGAATGTTGTTTACTCATCAAGATGCAGAACATGGGTTCTGGGGACGTCACGGGGGTCCACTGCACACATGGCCGTGATGTCAAATCAGTGACCGTGACCCAGGTGAAGATGCTGAAGACGACGCGAGGGCCTCGTCCAAACGCCCCCAGGGAAATAAGTGGAGCCCCCCCAGGGAGAAAGAAGCCACCGGCACCACACAGCACACTGAAGCGAGCGGCTCATTGATCTGGCGACGTTAGTATGGGTGGGGGCTGCTCTGCCCGCCTCCCAGCGTGCCCCCCCCCCCCCAGCTTGTAACACTCGCAGTTCTCCTCTCTCTCACTCAACAGTGGATCAAACGCAGTCAATTGAATTTAGGCACTGCAGCGTGCTGAAGAGCCGATTCCGGCTAATTCCGGCACTCTGCACACTCCACCGGAGCCACGGTAGGTGCCCGAACACGCCGTGTCTTTCACCATAACCGCACCTGCTTAACACCTTCTCTTTCAGCTCCGCCGTCACTCTTTCGCGTTAACGCTGTCCTGGGCTTAACTAAACCACTTCTGATCGGAGTGTTAGAAGTAAGACGGATTTTTTGATTTAAGTGAAATAATGCCATAAGGTTTAGTTTCTGCTAGCTAGTCTGGATTGCTTTTGGCTGTTTTTTGGGCACCGATCAGTGTTTGCGTACATCGTGCTGCTCTGCTCAGAAGCTCGCCTGTCCCTCGCTGCTTTCTGTTGTCACTGATCATTATTTATCATCGTCTGTGAATCCGTCCTCCCAGCTCTCACTGGCCGGAGACAGTTTGTCCATCTGAATCGTGCCCCATTTTCACTGGGTGTTCCCTTGCGTGGGGACACATTCTAATATGAGTGTTTCTGGGACTCGCTTTGATCTGAATGTCCATTCCTCCGACCAGGGTGCAGATTGATTCTCAGACGTGTTTTTATATATATATATTCATTCATGGTATGTTTTTTATCTGATGCATGCCTTGTGTTTTTATGTATTAAGCAAACAACAAAAAAGCTCATTTTTTGTGTCTAATATAAACCCGCATTTTTTGTGTTTGTATAATTGCCTCATACCTCAGTACAATGCAAATTTAATGACTGCATATGATTATGGGAAGAGCAGCCTTCGAGAACATCTGAGGAGGAGTGTACACTTACGCCATTATTTTAGAATCTATTGTGAATTCACAGTAATAAACAGCACCTAATGTAGTTTCTTACGTTGTTGCAGCCTCGACCTCGGAGCGGCCAGAGAGTGAATCTCTGTGCCACGGATGGATGGATGGAAGCTCCCCAGAGATAAAACATCACGAAGCCTCGAGGGAAAGGAAAATCTCACTGGAATCACTGGCATCTCGAACACCACTGCCGTCTAGGCGAGAATCTCACCCAGGTCCTGCACGACTCTGAAACCGCCGATTCATATTTATGAGTGAATAACAATATTGGGCCAGGAGACGCGCTTTATACATTTTTCAAGAAACGTCGTGTGACAGTATTTTTGCGAAGAGAGCCTTTACACTAGGGAGAGTTTACACGCCGGCTGTACACTGGTAATACATCCACGGTGGAGGTATGGTGAGCGAGTGAAAAGCCAGCGAGACGAGTGTTTGGATGACGCACCTCGTTTTTGTCTACTGTCGGGACCTGACTCGGCGTTTCCTGCTCAGGCGTAGACGAGACTAACTTCTGAGCCGCACCAGCGAGGTGTCACAAAGCAGCCGCAGTCCTGCCTCATATTAATCTTTAATTAGTACAGATGCTTTTCACGGAATTGCTTAATAAGTTCACTTAATGTTCCCAGTGTTCTTTTCTCGAAGTAGGAACATAAGAACATAATGGTTCTTTAGTGTTCTAATAATGGGCTGTGGTGCTGCCGTTCCAGCCCTGTTGGGTGAGGTAACAGCAGCCGTTTCTGCACATATTCGGGTGGGATGAGGCAGGGACTGCCCATAGCATTGTGGAGCAACATGTCAGGCCTCAATGGCACGGAGGAGCTCCCCACGGGACAGCCTGTCAACTCCTCTTTGGACTACAAGGATTATGAGCTGGAACAGGACATCAGCGCCATCGTCATCCCCTCAATCTACGCGCTCGTGTGCTGCGTGGGCCTGACGGGCAACACCATGGTGATCTACGTCATCCTGAAGTATGCCAAAATGAAGACGGCCACCAACATCTACATCCTGAACCTGGCCATCGCCGACGAGCTCTTCATGTTCAGCGTACCCTTCCTGGCCACGTCGGCGGCGCTCCAACACTGGCCCTTCGGCTCGCTCATGTGCCGCCTGGTGCTCAGTGTGGACGGCATCAACATGTTCACCAGCATCTTCTGCCTGACCGTGCTCAGCATCGATCGCTACATCGCCGTGGTGCACCCCATCAAGGCGGCCCGCTACCGCCGGCCAACGGTGGCCAAGATCATCAACGTCTGCGTGTGGGGGCTCTCGCTGGTGGTCATCCTACCCATCATCATCTTCGCCGACACCGTGCCGGCGCAGGACGGCGGGGTCGACTGCAACTTTCTGTGGCCAGAGTCGTCCTGGTCGGAGGCGTTCGTGGTCTACACGTTCCTCTTGGGGTTCCTCCTGCCCGTGGTGGCCATCTGCCTGTGCTACTGCCTGATCGTGGTACGCATGAGAGCGGTGAGCCTGAAAGCCGGCTGGCTGCAGCGACGCAAATCAGAGAAGAAGATCACGCGCATGGTGTTGCTGGTGGTGGCCGTGTTCGTGGTCTGCTGGATGCCCTTCTACATCGTCCAGCTGGTCAGCATCTTCCACCGGCCACCCAACCCCGTGGTCACGCAGCTTTTCGTCATCCTCAGTTACGCCAACAGCGGCGCCAACCCCATCCTGTACGGCTTCGTCTCGGACAACTTCCGCCGCTCCTTCCAAAGGATCGTCTGCTTCCGCTGGCTGGAGAATGGGCTGGACGTGGAGCAGGTGGATTACTGCGCTGTTGCCCTGAACCGCCAGGCCACCTGTGGCCCGCCGGACTTTCCCAGGGACTGCCTGGCCTCCGAAATGGTTTATCGTAATGGTACCTGCACATCACGTACCACTGCTTTCTAAATTTCCGAGATGCCCGGATGAAGCTTCGGAGAGATGTCGATACTGCCCAAAACGGCTGTTGCCTAATAACACCTTTATATAACGACACGTGGGCAGTAACTCAGACCAGTAACTCAGAGGCCAGTATGCTGAAGCTAACGAGGAAGTCCTTCTGGCACTTTCCGGGTGTGTCTAGTTTACCGTGACTGGCACAAGCAGTCGAGAAAACTGGCTGGTGATGCGGTGTTTTCAAAATGAGAATTTCCTTTTACTGTTGGGATTGTACGGTACACACTGACATCGTACTGGGGGAGATGGTTTGCTAACTGTGGTTCCTGTTCTCGCGTATCTGTACTTAGTGTGACATCACTGCCTGTTACCTCATCTGCCATAAAAACCCAGAAGCTGTTAAAAATACAGTAAAAAGGTTTTGTCCTTTTAAGAAATCGATCCGTCGTCGTGCCCAGAGCCAGCCTGTTGGGTCAGTTCAGTGCCGGGTCGCTATGGGTCGATACATTAAACATACAGAAGATTTATTACATGGATGGCGTTCTAAAGACAGCGAGCGTTTGTTGGCCAGAGATACTAATATAAAGAATGAGTAATTGTTCATGTTTGTGTTTTCTTGCGTCACTTTTGTGTCAGTGTTTATTAGTCACGCAGAAGTCCTCCCATAGTTTGCCTTATTCACACCCATGGAGGTTGTCGGATTAGGTAATTCGCTTAGCAGTTATTCATACGCTCGTCGGTCCTTCCAGAAGCACCGACCCGGAGACCCGTGGCAGGGACACAGTGTTACACACGCAAATAATTACACACGCTGCAGACAATATCGATGCATCAGACTACATGCGTTCGGATAGTGAAAGGGAGCAGAAGCTCTCCGAGCTGGGTGGGAAGAGCACAGGGACTCTCAGGAGCTCACAGGGACTCTCAGGAGCTCACAGGGACTCTCAGGAGCTCACAGGGACTCTCAGGGGTTAACAGAGACTCTCAGGGTTTAACAGGGACGTGGATTCCATTCTTATTTGGGGGGAGCTTTCAGAGCCACACTGCCAGTTCCCAGACGCAGTGCGCTGACTTGCCTCGTTTCCATGACTCAGTATTCAGATGCAGCTTGCTGACACACCTCAGCTTCATGCCTTGGTGTTCAGACACAGTGCACTGACTCATCTCGGCCCTGTGACTCTGTGTTCAGATGCAGTGCACTGACTAGCCTCAGCTCTGTGACTCAGTGTTCAGATGCAGCACTCTGACTCATCTGAGCTCTGTGACTCGATGTTCAGAAGCAGCGGACTGACTTGCCTTGGCTCCATGACTCAGTGGTCAGGTTTGCCGAACACGCCACCAGCGTGGCATCTTCATCTGACCACAAATGATCCTCCTCAACAAGATGCGATGAGCAGAAGACTGTGAACCCGAAAGAGGGCCAGCGCTTCTCATTAAGGGGGGGGGGTCCGTGCCCCTCGAACAGTGGCTGTGACGTCGAGTGACACATCACGTGAGTCTCATTCCTCTCAGGGTCTCTGCTTCACTGCCCTTGAGAAGGAAGCCGTGCTCTTTTTTCCAGGTGTTTCTCTCCCGTCTCACGACATCAAAGACGCCCGTTAATGGTGGGGGTGGGGGTGGGGGTGGAGGAGCTCATCTACCGCACACACACTCAGGCGGCTGTGGGCTCCTTCCCCACTCCATCCGTGTCTGTGTTACCGTCACTGTGACTGCTTATCCTAATAAACATCTCCAGTGATAAGTGTGCCATACACACGTGTAAACCCCCCCTTCCCCCCGAACTCCCACTCCCTGTTAATCACCTTCCCTACCCCCTCCCTGCTGTCCCCGCCCCCCCCCCCCCCCCCCCCCCCCCGCCCCCCCCCCCCCCCCCCCCCCGAAGGCTGCTAACTAACCTCTCCGAGCACTGTTTGTGCTTCACGTCTCCTGTTGCCATGGAGATATGTCCCTTCTAGCATGTCCGCCTCACGACGTGTCCCTCATGACGTGACCGCGGACCGTAATCCACAGGAGCAATGCTGGGTCCTCCTGGTGAAGCAGGAACAGGATACGAGGGGGACAGGGAGGGTGGGGGGCGTAGGAGGGTGTCGTGGCCGAGAAGACTGTAGTCGATGCTGGGAATATTTCATAATCACAATTATGTGTTTGCACATATATATGGTGGAGCTGTGGCTGAGTGGGCTGGGATTTGTGCCAGAATTCCGGAAGGTCATGGGGCCAGATCTCATGCCTGACAGAGTGAGAACTGCTCTAGAGGTGCGAGGTGCTGTTTGACTCTGAGGTCTGACCCCAAAACCTCCCCTCACCTGTAATTTACGTGTGTGTCTGTCTTTCAAGATGGCATGTTGAGACCTGCCCAGTTTTTACATGGGAAACTAAGCTACTTCTTTAAACTGATTTTTTAGACCCAGTAATAACTTTTGAGAAAATCATTGTGTGTGTGTCTTTTTGTGAATGTGTGTGTACACGCTGTAGTGCTTGTGTGTGTGTGTGCTTGCACGTGTGTGTGTGTTTATGCGCCTGTGTAAATGTGTGCATGCACGCGTTAGTGCTTGCGCATGTGTGTGTGCGCGTTTGTCCTGAGCGCTGTGGCGGCGTGTAGAGCTAGGCGGCTGATTTCAATCTCTCTTGACGGCTCTTTCATTGCTTTTAAAGAACATGGGGGAGAGGAGAGAGCAAACTGAGCACCGGGGGCCTGATTAATCAGACAGGGCTGCCTGTGTTGGAGCAGCAGCTACCACATTCGTGTAGCACCAGGAAGCCGCCAAGAAACGGCCACGTTCGCAGAATGGCCCGCGCAGGAGGGCTCCCGGAGATCGCTCTGGCCTTTGTGTAACCCTAAAAATCAGCTCATCTGCTGCGTTAAACATTTCTGATCTTGTGTTACGTTGACAGTTAAAAAGCGCTTCAGAGGAATTTAGACGCTCGGGATAATCTGCAAACAACTCCAAGTGGGTTTGCATGTGCAACCCGTCGAGACGGCTGACGCTAGCAGAATTTTAATGGTGCCACGCTGCGTGGAAAGACAGCAAATTCATGGATGGGTATGCACACGCACGCATGCACGCACGCGCACGCATGCACGCACGCGCACGCATGCACGCACGCGCACGCACGCGCGCACACGCTCGCACGCACACACACACACACACAAACACATCTCAAGGTGTCCTGCGTCCTGCGATGGGCCAGCATCTCCTCCAGGTTGTCCCTGTCTTGTCTTACATGTTTTCTGGGATATGATTGGGGATTCCTCATTCCCTATATAGTTATGGAAAATGGAGAGATTTGTGTGTGTGTGTCTGCGAGTGTATGGACATATATTTGCATATTTACGGTACACTCGGCTTGAAATGACTTTTGCAGCTGTTTCCTTTTCCCCGTGGATTCCTGACAGAGAAGAGTGAACTGTCCCCTAAGTGATCATACATTTCCAATTTCGACCGCATGGTTTAAGGCAGTAACAAAAATGTGGAGCCATAGTGAAGAATTGCCCAGGAAGATGTGGAGCAGGGGAGGTGATGTGAGACTGATGTGAGCAGCTCTGTTACTCTGTTACTGAGAAGCACTCAGCAGGGAACCAGTATAAACACAAAGTGGCGCATTATTAAGGAGCACGCAGTGATACACTGTATCCACAGTGATACACTGCATCCCCACTGACTGACTCACCACACATATTAAGTTAATTGCTGATAAAAATGATAAACTGCTGTTTGTATTTCTCTGTGGGAAAAACAAATATATATATACACACACACACACACAGACAGGATTGGAAATTAAGGACGCCACCTCACCTGGGGCGAGTGACTGAGATGGGCAGTGAGACAAGAAGGGAGAGCAGAAGAAAGAACGCGAACTGCAGCCCACTGGCTGGCGAGGAAACTGAAGGTCAGGCTGTATTTTTAAGTGAACTAGTCCAACTGGCGCCCCATATAGGCCCATTCAGACAGGCTTTCACTACAGAAACAGTTCATCAGATTTCTGCTGAAAATTTGTTTTTAAAAACGTCGACTTAAACAGCAACGGTTGCTCAGATCGCATATATTATGCTGAGAGTGGTGTAGCGAAGTGGCAGCATTACAGCTCATGGTCAAATGCCCAGCTCAAGGCCGGACAGGAGAGCATGGTCATGTGAGCTGCTTGGAGTCTCTTTTATTTGCTTGGAGCGGAGACCTGCTCCTGAAAGACGGGCTATGTTATAGATTCGTCCCGGTGGATAACCGCTGGAACGAAACCCTTCTTTTTTTGGTGTTTAGTGCTGTGGAGCATAGGAGGGGAAAATTACAGCCACACAAGGACGACGTTAATGTGTCCACGGAGTGAAAAGGCCATTGAGAGTCACCACAAAGGCCAGACGAACACGTTTGCCCTATGAAGGCAGAGCGGGTGATTGGACCGGGCTCAAACTCATAATTAGACAGAGATACTGTACTGAACGCTGGCGACAGAGTCTTTGCCAAGAATGAAGCTTGTTTGTTATTGATCCAGGTTTGGCTGCATCTGGTTTTGTTAAAGCTGGATCATGAACTACAGCGTCCTTGAAACAGACCCAAGGATTCATTTAGCAAAAACTGATAACACAAACAAAAAGATCCTTGTTTATTTGGCACGACTGCCTTGGACAGGAGATAAAGAGACCAGCACCAGACTTTAACTGCTCATATTCAGAATCAGAATCGGAACTCACTCTGTTTCCAGTATGTGTGAACGTACTAGAATTGTTTGTGGCCCAGTGTCAGACATGAAGTACAAAAATGACTAAACAGACAGGGGAACACTTCACAGAACACTACCAGCAAAAAAACAGGAGTACACCAGTTAACAGAAAACACAGTGCAAGATATCTTAAGACAAGAAGTTACATTTGAACTAGTGCAGCAAGCATTGTAGGGCCAACTGAAAGGACGCTGTAGATATGCTACGAAGGGAAGATATCAGAGAAGATGAGGATGGTTCTTGGGGGGGGTGAGCCGCAACTGGGTCACGGAACCTGGGTGATGGGTGATGTATTCAATATGCATTTTCTTTTAAAACTATTTTAAGTCCTTTAAATTTTTTCGCAAAGGTCTTAAAAAGCTTGGAAGTAAATGTATAAAGTATATTCCCTAATATATCTTTGAAGAGTGTCCATCCATCCAACCATTCAGCTTAGTGCAGTCGTGTTTAGGCCCTCCCACCGGCTCAGTGCCGAGCTCAGAAGGGGGCGTGTCCAGGCCCTCCCACCGGCTCAGTGCCGAGCTCAGAAGGGGGCGTGTCCAGGCCCTCCCATTGGCTCAGTGCCGAGCTCAGAAGGGGACGGGTCCAGGCCCTCCCACCGGCTCAGTGCCGAGCTCCGCCTGAGAAGGGGGCGTGTCCAGGCCCTCCCATTGGCTCAGTGCCGAGCTCCGCCTGAGTAGGGGGCGTGTCCAGGCCCTCCCATTGGCTGAGTGC